CCCCAAAACCCCAAAACCCCAAAACCCCGAATGTGATCACTTAAGTAAATTGTAGTATTATATATGTTTGAATTGAAATTATATATGATTAAGTTTGCTTAATAGTTCATATTTTTGACTGGATCACAGTCATTAGTATCCTTTTTGCATAACACTAGGTTTTCTGCTTTTAATGTTTTTGCTAACTACACTGACATCATCTCTGAATTTCATAGTAGAGCCAAACATTGACCTACCATCGCGGTTTGATCTAAGCTGACTTTTACTATCAGTATTTTAGGCAAATTTGCTTTGTTTTGGTCTTGCTAAGGCCAACTCCTTCTTTACTTATGATTCCAAACCTTCAATCTTTGTTAGAATTTCATTTAGCATCTTTAATTGCTATTCCTTACTAACAGAATTCTCACCGAACGCCAATAACCCATCAGCTCCAGCTGCAGCACCAATATTTGTTCTTGAAGTCAATTATGAAGTGAGATTGCCTAGAATCTATCCACCAATGTTATTGGCAAGATGATTTGCTAGATGAGAGCTCTTTAGCTGGGTGTTCATCTTTAAGATGTATTAATTTTCCTTCTTTCTCATTAGTGCTTCATAGTATTTATTGATGTTTTCCATCTTGCCTGGGCCGTGATACTTCTTTTTATCAATAACTATTCTGTAGGCATCAGTCTGCTCTTTGAGCTTGGAGAATGCAGCCTCTTCCTCTTTCTTTTTAATTTCTTCCTCTTCTTAGCGTTTTCTCTCAGCTTCTTCCTCTAGTCTAAACTTCTCTTCTTCTTCTTATCTAACTCGCTCAGCATCTACCATCTTGGCTTCTAGAGCTTTCTGCATCATTGTGAGTTAACGTTGCTTTTCAGAGGAGATTGCTGAGTCTAGTTGTTCATTGATCTTTTCTAGATCTCTCTTGAGCTTTTCAATGTAAGCGTTACTGTTCATATTTGACTCTTGCATTCTTTCTCTTCTTAGCTTATTCTATCTCTCTCTTTCTCTTCTTTCTTCTTCTTATTAAAGTTATTAATTGATTGCATCCATCTTTTGCATTCTTTCTTTCTATGCTTCCATTTCTTTATTAATCAGTTCTTGCTATCTTTCGAGATCTTGAATTTTCTTAATCTTGTCAGCTTCTTGCTCAAATTTGAACTCTTCAAGTTCCTTATACTCGTCCTCATTTATCTCATTAATAATCTCCTTAATTGAGTTGCTTTCTGGTAGATACTAGTTGAACACCTCCTGCTTTTCACTTAGCTATTTCTCTTTAAGCCAGAGAAGTCTCTGATTCTCCTTGTCAATTAGTCTCTAGTTAACATCCATTTCCATCTAACCTTCTAGAGTCTTATAATCCCATTCAAGATTTTATAGTTCCTTTTATTCTTCCTTTTTAAGATTATCTTTAATCTTCTACAAGTTATCTTTCATTTCTTGATCTGGGGTCTAGTCTTGGAGTTTCTGGATGACACTGATCTTGTCTTAATATTCTTTTTAAATAGCACCTTGCTTGTGAAGTTTCTCTTCGAGCACATTGAAAACCTCATCTTGTAATTCTCTACACTTGAGCTCAAATAATTCTACAAGTAGATCGTTTAGCTCTGCTTCATGTTTCTCATCTAGTACTCTCTGAATGGCATAGGGTAGTTCCTCAGCTGGTAGGTTCATCTTTAACTCATTCAATGTTGCTTCTAAGTTATGTCTATCTTGTTATGCCTTAGCGTTTTTATCTTCTAGATTCTAGATATCTTCTTCTAGTTCTCTTTCAACGATCTGCTTGGACTTCATCTCTCTTTCCAACTCAGCTAACTCTTCCTTTCTTTTTCTCCTTTGCTTTAGCTTCTCAGCTAAGGCATTATCCTGTTATTAATTCTACTGATCCAACTTGTCTTTAATGCTGTTATCTCTTTGCTTTAACTCCTCTATCAAATTCTTCTTTTGCTACTCATCCATTGTCTGAGATTCTTGCTCCAATCTTTTCTTGAGTTCATCCCTTTGAGACAGCTCTTGAGTTAATTGGTCAGAGAACTTGTTCTAAGCCGCTTGTACTTCTTGATCAAGTACTTTGCCTTCATCAATCATTTTCCTCTCCATCTCTTTGCGTTCCTTGGAATGCTATTGCATCAATTTTTCAAGCTTAGTCATCAGACCTTTTTTCAGTCTATCGAATAAACTGTCACTTTTATCTCTAAGAGTCTGCTTTCTGTTAAGTTAAGACTCAGATTAATGTGATGCTCCTTGAATAATCTTTTCAATGTTCTTATCTAAGATGCTGCTCTGTTACTTAGAGCCGTCATCTAGCTGAATGATATTTTTAAGTTCTTCTATCTTCTTTCTATCATTTTCTGTTTGAACCTCCATATCTCTTTAAATCTCTTTGAGCTTTTCAGCTTTTTCCTTTTCAAGTTAAGCTCTTCTCATACCTCTTCTGTTCTTAAGTGCTTTATCCAGATCTTATTCTTGCTTCTGCTTCTCTTTTTCAAGCTCACTTTCAACCTTCTTACGAGCATCCTGATACTGATCTAGGATATTGCTGAAATCCTTTTGATTCTTGCTTTCTTTTAGTAAGTCCTCAAAGTTTTACAGCTTATCAATCTTCGCTCTTTCAATGTCATCATCTAACGCAAGTTTCTTTTGAATTCTTTCCTAAGCTATCTCAGCATCCAATTATATATTCAGGTCTTGACAGTGACTCTCAACTTCTTCTTACTGCTGTTTGAACTCTTCGTTTTTCTTATGAAGAATTTTTTCTTGATCTTGCAGCTTATCTTACAGCTTCTTTCTGCGGTTTTTTCTCTCCTCAAGTTTCCTTCTCAACAAATCTTATTGATAGGCTTCATCGTCCTCCAAAATAGAGCCAATCTTACCAAGATTAGAGTCAAACTGTTCCATCATTCTCTCTCTGTCCTCTTTGCTGAGATTGACTCCAAGTTTCTCCATTTTATCAAGCATGTCTTGCTTCCTTCTGTCTAAGTCACCTTCAAAGAAACCAATCACTTCATTCTTCTTCTTGTCGAACTAATCTAGATTCTTCTTTTACTTGGCATCATGATTTCTCTGGTACTCCAGTTCTTTTATTCTCTTTGCTTCCTCCTCAGCTTATCTTTGTTCGAACTCTTCTCTGTCCTTCTTCTCCTATTCCAATCTTTGTTTTTCTTCTTCTGTGGTCTGATGATCTTCAAGGATATCTCCTTCAAGCACTCTACGATTTTCATCTATGATTTCTTTTAGCTTAGCAATTTGATCAAATAACTTCTGAGCTCTAAGTTCTTCATCATTTTCTAGCAATTAAGCATTCTCATCATCATCTTCCACATTGCCATCTACTCCAAATAGCTTCTTGATCTCACCTAGATGCTTATATAACTTATCCTTTAGGTTTTCAACCTCTTCAATTTCTAGCTGCTTCTGCTTCTTAATTTTCTTCTTTCTTTCCTTGTCAAGTTTTTCTTAAGCATCTTTAGCCTTCTTTTGTTCTCTAGATCTCAAGACTTCTTTACCTTCATTAAGGAATGAAAATGATTCAGTATCAGCATTGATGGAAATTATAGCATCATGCTCATTGGGATCTTGTACCTTGATTAAACTGTAGTTCTTTCTTTGATATCCAATAGAATCATAGGTTTTTACAGCCCATGATTTTCTGTAGACGTAACCGATTCCGAAAACACTGATCAAAATCAATCCGAGGACTGCAGCTACTATACCAATGAAGAATCCCCAATCAGGTGAGTAGATGATGTTTTTGTTGATTGCAACTCCTACCTTAAGTAAGTTGGCAAGTGTCTTAGCTTCATATAGAACTCCTGATGGACATTTTTATGAACTAGGCATAATTGAAACAATAGTTGTCTTTGAGTCATCTGCTGAATCACCAAATACATAGACTCCTGGATCTTAGAATGAGAAGATGAATCTAGTAATATTTTAGCCATTCTTAACCTTAGTCGCAAGATTTGTAAACTGACTATAATCGAATGCACCATTGGTGTTTATCAGTGAATCCTTGAGATAAACTGGATAGTGAGTCTTGCTCAAATTTTCAAATAGCAGAGCTGACCCCTGAGTTAGACATACAACTGGATTTCTAATGTAGTTATCTTAGCCAGCAGTTTGAAGATTTCTTCTCTTTTTATGATACTTGAAGTGACTGTTCGTATCATCATAATTCTCTTATTCAAATTCTTCAAACAAAACTCTTTTAGAAGTAGTGGAGAGTGCTGAAGATGTGGTGAAATCAGCTGCGAAGTCACCAGCAGCTGTTTATATCAAGTTAACTAGTTGACACAGAGATGTATCTTCATTAATGCATGAAAGAGAGCCTTCAACTCCACTCAAACTATATCATTTATTTTAAGAAAAGTATATTTTACCTAGAAACAGAACTTGTTTTACTAATTGGGTCATAGATCTTTATTTAGCCATCGGATGTAAAGGTAACTTGCTTTTTCTTTGCAAGACAACTGGAATCGCATATATCATCAGCACTTGTCTAATTATTGCATTAGCAGACTCCCAATCCAGCAGTAATAGTTCCAGAACCACCATTGCACTCTTTTTTGCAGTCATCTGAAGATTTACAGCCTCCAAATTGATCTTAAACTTAGCTCTATGTGCAAGCTTGATAGACCTTTTATGTGCAGTCCACATCAGAATCATCATTTGAACCTGACTCTGCTGGTTCAAATCCTGTTTTGCAAACACATTAACCAGATGATGCTAAGTAGACTCTATTACTTCCAATACATGAGCAACTGGAAGCTCCAGCAACTGATGTAGTATATCCATTGCATTTTTTGCATGAAGTTAAACCAATAACGTCTCCATATTAGCCTGCTGAACATTTCTAACAATCAGACTCAGATTTCAGGCCAATAGATCCTCCATAAGTTCCTCTTGGGCAAGCAATTGGTGAGTAGCTGCCTGATGGACAGTAGTAACCTAAAGGACACTTATAGCCGCCGTCTTTCGCTTTTTCAGTTGGTTCAGATTTACTAGTATTTCCAAGACAAATGTAGCCTGCTTTACAAGGTAGGCATTCATTAGCACCTTATACAGAGTAGAATCCTGCATCACATCCAATACACCCTTTGTCTAAATTGTAGTTGTTTGGATCACTGCTTCCATAATATCCATTAGGGCATGCTATAGTACTTTATGCTTTTGCAGCACAGTATGTACCATTTGAGCATTTTAGATACTAGTCTGAACCAGTCACTGGACAATAGAAAGATAATGGACAAGATTAGGCTGATCCAATCAATGATGGACAGTAATTACCAGTTGGGCATGTAGTAGCACTTGAAGATCCTAGAGGACAATAAGTTCCATTTTTACATGGAATAGGATTAATAGTTGCTTTGGGACAATAATAACCTGCAGGACATGATTTGCAGTCCTCTAACTTTGCTCCACTACCTTGATTATTGTATGTGCCTATTGGGCATTCAATGGCTACTTTAGTTGATTCAATCGGGCAATAATATCCTCTTGGGCATGGGAAACTCTTATAATCTGCAATTCCTGTTTGATTACAGATGTAACCAGCTGGGCATTTCAAGCAGTCGGAGAGACTTTGTCTTCCTCTCATGTTATTATAGGTGTAGGAAGGGCAGGCTTCAGGGTCAACCATACCAAGACAGTAATGACCTTTAGGACATGATGTTTAGCTATCACCATTCTCAAGACAGAAGAAACCTTCACCACAAGTGACACATTAATTAGCTTAACTAGCACCAAGAGTTGGAGTACTTCCACCATTAGGACATCTCTTTGGATATAAAGTACCTTCGAGGCAGTAGTGACTTATTGGGCATCTCTTATCAGGATCTTAAGCTGATATGGCTCCAGTATCACAATAATAACCTGCAGAACATTTTCCTTAAATAACACCATTTTAGCAATAGTAGCCAGTTGGACAAGCAGCACATTGAGAGGGTGAATATAATCTGTCAGTGTGACCATAGAAGCCATCAGGGCAATTTTATGTATCATTAGCATCTGGAGGGCAATATTTTCCTATTGGACATGGCTCGGGTTTAATAGAACCCTGCCTGCAAATATATCCTAGAGGACACGTCTAGCATTGGGAAGACCCGTATCGATGCTCGTATGTTCCAGGTGGACATAATAACTCTTTCTCTCCTGATTTGCAGTAATAACCTGGCCTACATAATCTTCCAGTTGTATTATCAGTAGGGTAAGGAATAATTGCACTTTAAATGCAATAGTAGCCAGCTTTACACTTTTTATTTTATAATGTGGTATTATCAAGTCCTAATTCGTTGCAATAGTAGCCAGTTGGGCATGGATCACATGAGCTTCTTTGATAGTAAGGGTTGTAGGTTCCAAGTCCACAAGGAATAGGAGCTAAAGTTCCTGCAGGACAGTAATAACCCTAAGGGCATCTGCCTTGCTTTATATTTGCAGAGCCCATTGTATAGTTCTCTGTCGATGTCGGTTCACTTGATCCTTTTCCGCAATAGAAACCCTCTGAGCATTTGCCATCTGGTTTAGAGCCTCCTCCAGAACAATATTATCCTTCTTAGCATTCAGTACAATCCTCAGCTTATTCATTACCTTCAAATTCACTGTACCTGCCAGCTTAGCATTCATTGAGGTTTATTTCACTAGATTTAGTTGGATCGTATGATTCCATCCCTTAATTTATTTTAAGACAGTAGTGGCCAGCAGGGCAATTATAGGGTTTCACCATTCCAATCTCGTTGCAGTACTTTCCTTCGAGACAGCCGTCACAAGTAGGTCTTCCCTTGTCAGCATTATAGTATGAAATAGGACATTATATTTGTTAAGTGTCACTGCAATAAGAACCTGCAGGGCAAAGCTAACCAGCTTAGCCTGCTTAAAGAGATGGTCTAGAGCTTTTAGCACCTCCTGTACAAATAAAGCCATCTTCACATGCATAGGCCAATGATTTCTAATCAAATCCAAATGTAGCACTAGATGCACCAACTTAATTACAGTAAAATCCAGCAGGACATGGAATACAATCACTGATAGTTGTTGATCCAAGATTATCGTTGATAGTACCAATAGGGCAAGGAGTCATACTGCCACTACCAGCAGGACAATAGTAGCCAGGTTTGCATTATCCATAATCTTTTCCATTTTCAGCTTCATCAGGTGTAATTTAATACGCTTTTTCTCTGCAATAGTAGCCTGCATTACATTATCCAGTAGGGGCTGTGAGACTTGAACCTTGACAATATTAACCTTCTGTGCAAGATAGACAATCCAAAACAGAGTCTTAACCTAAGAAAGGATTAAATGTACCAGTTCCGCATGCAACTGGATCGAGAGTCCTGACTGGGCAATAGAATCCTTTAGGACAAGTTAAAGCTTGAGTTGCGTTAGGTGTTTATGGACAGTAGAAACCTGTTGGGCATGAAAGGCAAGAAGATTGCTATGGATTTGGTTAATAGTATCCTGATGGGCATTTAAGTGGATCATCTGATTTGGCTGGACAGTAGTATCCAATTGGACAAGGGATAACTTAGTTGTCACCAGGACAATAAAATCCAATCGGACAGATAGAATCATATGTTTCAGCGCCAAGCACTGTACATTGATATCCTACAGGACAAGCTTTGCATGCTGCATCACTAGTCTACGTAAACTAATCATTATAAGTTCCAATGGGACATGCAATTGGAACAAAAGAACCTTCTGGGCAATATTTACCTCTGGGGCATCTATCTCCAGTCATACCATCAAGAGGTGTTCTTGACGATGCACCAAGTGTGCAATAGTAACCTTGAGAACAGAGGCCAGTTGGCTCAACTAATCTTTCTAATCCTTCAGTAGTAGCACAGTATTTACCTGGTGGGCATTTTCTTGGATAAGAAGTCTTAGCTGGACAGAAGTAGCCGGCCGGGCAGGGATTATTACCAGAAGAGTTTGTGGCTTCACTAGTGCAGACAACTCCTGCTGGGCATGGAAGTATGACTATACCTGTGACATCGTCACTTTTACAATAATATCCTGGTAAGCAAGCCAAACAATCATTTATTGTTGAGGCATTGTACTTAAATGTAAATCTACCAGCAGGGCAAGCTTATCTCACTTAACTTTATGGGCAATAGAATTAGGCGCCACACAATGAAAGACCTGTCTTAGTGCAATTATATCCTGGCGGGCAGTCTTTACAGTTCTCTTATCCTTTCATGTCTTAATATGTATAATCACTACAGCTAATGGGATCAGTACTTCCTAGAGGACATCTATAGCCAATGGGGCAAATATAATCAGGATTTCTTGGTGTTTTTTAGCCTTGTGGACAGTAATATCCTCGAGCACACTAGCCTGTTGGTGCTGATAAGCCTGAAGATTCACAATAGGTGCCATTTAGACAAATAGTGCAGTTATCTTTGTGAGTGTTACCAGATAATGAACTAAAAGTTCCGACTGGACAAGGAATAGGAACAGTTGATCCTTCTTGGCAATAGTAACCAGCTGGGCATATACCACCTCCATCAATTTCATTATTTGGAGTTGATACTATGGCAGTTGTTAGACAATAGTAGCCGGCCTTGCATTACCCAGATGGTTTATCTAGGCCAACTTTTCCACAATATTATCCTGGTAGGCAGGGTCTCATCACTGCTGAGCCTGATGGACAGTAGTATCCTTTTTTGCATTACCCCCCAACTTCAACTCCATTTTAGAATGTGATTGGTGTTGCAGTAGCAGAACCAGACTTGCAATAATAACCAGCAGAACAATCTCCTTTTACTTATGACAATCCTGTTTAATTACAGTATTTACCTGGGTCACAATCAATGCAAGTGTATTATCCAGTTAATGGCTGATATTTTCCAGCTGGGCATGGATATTAATTTTTGTATTAGGTGCCAGCTGGGCAATAGTAGCCTGGAGGGCATGAATTATTTTTATATTAAGTACTTCCCTCTTCGCAGTAGTAGCCTTTTGGACAAATTACATAAGTAGATTAAAAAGGCATGCTTTGATAGTATCCAGCAGGAACAATTGTTGGTAGTCCAGACTTAGCAGGGCAATATTCACCTTCTTTACAGGAAAAATTCTTTGGTCTAGGTGATATCTAGCCACCAGGGCAATAAAATCCAGGATCGCAAGACCCGGTTGGGGCTGATAAACCTGACTGAGAGCAGTAAAAGCCAGTAGTGCAAGGCTTGCATGAAGTATTACTGTATTAATATGCTGTGGATGAAAAAGTACCTGCAGGACAGGGAATAGGGTATGATGTTCCTAGTGGGCAGTATTTACCTGCAGGACAAGGTCCATATGTTTCAATAGATTGGTTGATTGGTGTCATACTGGTTGAACCTGATATGCAGAAGTACCCTTAATCACAATAGCCAGATGGCTCGATCAAACCTTCAACGTTACAGTATTTTCCTGGAGCACATGGTTTACAATCACTTTAGCTCTTTCCATTAAACTGATTTAGATATGTTCCAATAGGGCATTTAGTTGGAATTGTTGTATTTTTAGGGCAATACTAACCTCTTGGGCAATCCTTAATATTATCAGTCATGCCTTACTCATCGCAGTAAAATCCAGCTTCACATTCTAAGCAGGTTGATCTAGCAGTAAAAGGGTTATAGTATCCATATTCGCAGATTTCTTAACTACTTGCTCCTTCCTTTGTAAAATATCCTGGTTCTGCTGGATTTTATCTTTTGTCTGTTGAGCCTGCTGGGCAATAATAGCCAGCTTCACACATTCCAGTAGGAATTGATAAGTTTGATCCTTAGCAATAGTTACCTGGTAGACAGGCTCTACAATCAGTTTGAGTTTTAGCTTTCACCTTATCATTGAAAGTACCTGGAGGGCATTCTTTGATTCTCTTTGATCCATATTCACAGAAACCACCTTTTTAGCAAACATCGCCAGTATTTCCATCAGTTGGATTTGGCACCTTAGCTCCACCTTTACAGTAATATCCAGGATCACATAGTCCATCAGGAGACGATATGCCTTGTTGAGAGCAATATTGACCAGGTGGACATGTCTAGCATGAGGCTGAGTCTTTGTAACCAAGAGCAGCTCCAAAAGTTCCAACTGGGCACTTTAGAGGCTCATGAACTTTATCAGGGCAATAATGTCCCTGAGGACAAATTTAAGGATGAATGAATGTTTCATTACAGAAGAATCCAGCTGGGCAGCTTTTACAAGCTGATTATTATGTTTAATTATTGTAGAATCCTCTTGGGCATCTGTAGGCAAATTAGGAGTTTGATCCCTATGGACAATAATACCCAATGGCGCATAAATAGTCTTAAAACTTTGATAAACCTCTTTATTGAGTATAAAATCCTGCTGGAGTTGTTATGCATTCCTTAGATGATAATCTTCCTACTTAATCTTAATAGGTACCTGCAGGGCATTTATGAGGTATTCTAGTACCGGCTGGACAGAAATAGCCTTCTGGACAAATAATTGAAACCATTCCGTCGCTATAATATCCACCTGTCTCTTATATAGCATATTTATACCGATCAATATCCAAATAATTTCTACTATAGCAATGGTGCCCCTCTTAGCATTCAAAGCAGGTCTGGCTTCCACTAGGAGAATAATATCCCGCTGTACAGGGAATAGGATCAATCATTCCTTCAAATGGACACTTTCTTCCAGCAGGACAAACTTTGCATGTGATTATTGAATCGCCATTACTGACAATTGAATTATCAGCAATGAATGCTCCCTCTTAGTCGTTATAAGTACCTTTAGGGCATTTTTCTGGGAATATAGTGAACTCTTTACAAAAATAGCCTTTAGGACAGATAGTGCATTCACTAGCATCTTTTAAGCCTTTTTTGTAGGTATAAGTTCCATTTTTGCAAGGAGTATGCTGGAAATTTTCAGTTCCTGAAAGGCAGAAGTAACCATTCGGGCATATATATGGTTGATAGGATCCAGGAGGACAGAAGTATCCTGAAGGGCAAGTTAAGCATTAAGTAGCAGAGACTAGATCGTGAGCTGCAGAATAAGTTCCACCAGGACATGGATATTATTTATCATGAGTGGTTCCTAGTGGACAGTAATAACCTGGCTCACAAGTCACCCTCATTCTTGTAAATGCTGAGGTTGCAGTTCCTGGTTCACAAGCGAAACCTATGTCACAGATTTAGCACTGATCTGGATTTGTTAGATTCCTAAGATAGTCTATGGTGCCAGGTGGGCATGGCAATTGTTAACCATGATTAACACCAGCCGGTGACAAATAGCCATTTTCAACTTTAGGCTGGCTAGCTGAGTCATACTATGTTAAGCCAAATACAGTGCAGAGATGATTAATCGGACAAGTTTTGCAGTCTTATCTTACTTTTTGACCTTCCAAATCATTGTATGTGCCAGGAGGGCATAGTTAAGGGTATTGTGATCCTTAAGGGCAATATTATCCTTTTGGACAAGTTTCACATGTAGTTTTTCCTGGGAAGGGGTTGTATGATCCAGCAGGACATGGCATAATTTAGTATTCTTTTAAGCCTTCTATTGGGCAAATATTACCTGGTGAGCAAATCAAAGGGAATGCTGACCCCTCAGGACAGTAATATCCGATTGGGCAGATCTTACAATCCTCCTCTGATGTTTTTCCTTCTGAATCAAGATACATGCCTGCTGGGCAAGGATATTAGGTGATGCTCTTGACGAATTTTGGACAGTAATGACCTCTAAAACAGATTTTAGGTTCAATATTTGCACCTTCACAATAGTAACCCTCTTCGCAAACAGAACACGCTTCATCTCTGTTGATTGCATTAACCTTATTTCTGCTTTTGAATCCAGCAGGGCAAGGGAACATAGTGTATCTAGCTGCATTTTCATCTTGCTGGTTACACCAATATCCTGGTGGACAAGCAATATTGATACCTGGTTCATATTTTGGTTCATCAATAGTAATTCCTCCAGCTTCTGAATTTTAGCAAACTAGCAGCCCATCATCATTGACTTCTAATAAACCGCTGTAGGTTCCATAAATACACTTTTCATAACCTGTAAAACCACCATAGCCATATTGATAACCGTTGGGAATCCCCTAGCATTTTACTGATCCTGGCTAATCCGTAAAAGTTTTACCTTCACATTTTTTGCATGTTTATTATCCTTCTAAGTCTTAATAGAAACCTCTTGGACAGAGAATAGGATTAGCATCTGGTAGCTCACAATAAGAGCCAGGAGGGCATTTCAAGCATTCAGAGGCACCTATCATTGAGTAATAGCCTATTTCACAAGGCTTGACATACTTATCCTCACCAGTCATCTTGCATTGCCATCCAGCTCTGCATTTCAAGGCCAAAGATGTACCTTTAGGACTGAAGAATCCGTCTTTGATAGGTTTGATTGTATCTCTGTGGGGGCATTCGAAATGCTCAGGACACTCAGTGCAAGTTTTTTAATTTCCTAATGAGTAAGTTCCAGGAGGACATTGTTCGATAAAGAATAAATGCTTAAATGGACAATAATGACCTTTTGGACACTCATAACACTTAGAAGATCCTATAGTTGAGATTTATCCATCTGGACACTCTTCAATTCCTAAGCCATTCTTGTTTGGACATTTAAAACCAGCTGGGCATGGCTTACATGAAATCTCTCCTTCTAGTGAATAGTAGCCTTCATCGCAGTTAATCTAACCTAACGAATCTTTAGAATGGCATGATTTTCCAGCTGGGCATGGACTACAAGTTAGGGATCCTATATGAGAAAATTATCCTAAAGGACATGGCTGAACTTCGAGCTTATTATTCGTGATAGTACATGATTTTCCAGCAGGGCACTCAAAACAGTAAGTTGAGCCTAAATTAGATACAAATCCACTTGGACATTCTACTCTATCTACATAGAAAGGAGTTGGACATTTATAGCCTGATTCACACTTTGTGCAAGCATTTTAATTAGAGTTACTGTAATATCCAGAGGGACAGATAAATGGTATTTTAGTTGCTGGTGATGGACAGAAAAATCCAGCAGGGCAATCCATACACTTAGTTTAATTTGCTGTTGGGTTGTATTTTCCAGCAGGGCAGACGGTTGGTTGTGAGACTGAGCTTGATTCACAATAATATCCAGCTGGGCATTCATAGCAAAATGTCTTTTTAGAGTCTGGTTGGTATGTGCCAGGTGGGCAAGTTTCAGCAGCGTTTCCTAATTGTGGGCAGAATGATCCTGCAATGCATGAAATGCATGATGATCTATTGTATAAAGCATAGGTTCCGCTCTCGCAAATTGTTGGTAAAGATGAACCAGTTGGACAATAATGGCCAGGTGGGCAGTCTCTGCAAATAGGGAGAGTACCATCATTAACTCTGTATTGGCCTGACTAGCAATTTTCTTCTCCTCCTCCGTTACTTTGAAGGCAAGCAGCACCATCTGGGCAGTCTCTGCATTCATCTTGTCCAGTTGGACTGAATTTTCCAGCAGGACATACTATAGGCTCTTTATTTCCCTTGGGACAGTAATAGCCAGCTGGGCATATAGTGCATAAAGCAGCTGAGCCAAAGCTAAAGTATCCAGAGTCGCAAATCTTTGGATTTTGAGATGGAACTTCACATTAGAAACCAGGTGGACATGGTGTACATGATGTCTGATTTTATTCTGAAGAATAGAAGCCTGGTGGGCAATCATAAGGCTATGCAATAATTGTTTATGGGCAGAATTTTCCAATAGGGCAAGCGTGACAGTGAGTTTAGCCGATTGTAGAGTAAGTGCCTGAAGGGCAGCTATGAGGTCTTGAATCTGGAGTAGGACAATAATGACCAAGTGGACATACTGAGCAGTATGTTGAGCCTGGAATTGAATAGTAACCAGACTAGCAAGCAACTGGAGAAACTGTCATTTTAGCGCAACTTGAACCAGCAGGGCATATTGAGCAATACCCATCACCTTCGTGGGAGAAGTAACCTTGTTGACATGATACAGGGATAGAAGCAGCATTAGGGCATTCATAGCCAGCAGGACATAGTAAGCACTGCGTAGATCCAGAAATTGAGTATTATGATCTTGTACAAGAAACAGGCAATACAGTTGGATCTTAGCATGAAGAACCTAAAGAATTTATTTACTATTTAAATCTGGATTTACCTTGAGGGCATTTATTGCAAACAATGTCACCTTCAATAGAATAATAGCCAGCTGCACAAGAAGTCATCACACTAGTAGATGGACAAGCATAACCAGCAGGGCACTTCTAGCAATATTTTTAAAGACCGGGTGAGTACTATTCATTAGCTGACCCAGAACAAGCTACTGGATCCAAAGTTTTATCAATACAAGAATATCCTAAGTATAGAATTAATCGTTATATATTTACCTGCTGGGCATTCTTTGCAAGAAGTGCTCAAGGTAGCAGATTGATAATAGCCATCATCACATTCATCTGGTAATTCGTTTTTATTTGGGCATTAATAGCCTTTGGGACATCCAATACATAAGCCTCCTCCTAGTATTGAGTAGTAGCCTGAATCGCATGCAACTGGAGAAACCGTGGTTGTCAAGCATGAGTAACCTGCTGGGCAGGGTGTGCAAGTGGCTTCACCTGCAAGAGAGTAATAACCTTGAATGCAATCAGTTGGTGTAGAATATGTGTTTGGACAAGATTTTCCAGCTGGACACTGAGAGCAAGAAGTTGAACCAGCTAAAGCATATTATTCATTTCCGCTTCCAGAACATTAAACTGGACTGACATCTTTAGTTGGGCACTTATAGCCTGCAGGACATTCAGTGCATGAAGTAGATTTTTCAAGGGCATACTAGCCAGTATTGCATTAGATTGGAGAAGATGTGGTGCTTGGGCAGTACGATCCAGCTGGGCAAGTTGTGCATGCTCCATTTCCAGCCAGAGCATATTCGCCTTAATTGCAGTCGATAGGAGCAGAGTTAGTGGCTGGGCAATTCTTACCAGCTGGACATTAAGAACAACTTGTTGAACCTTCGAGAGAGTATTATTCTGAACCAGTGCCAGAACATGCAACTGGACTTACATCTTTACTAGGACATTTTGAACCAGCAGGGCAAATTGTGCAATAGCCATCTCCAAGAAGAGAGTAATACCCAGTAGGGCAATCAATAGGATCTTAATCTGCAGTTAGACACTTCTTTCCAGCTGGGCATTAGGAACACGAAGTAGACTGGGCGAGGGAATATTGTTCTGAGCCAGTTCCACTGCATTGAATAGGACTTGCATCTTTTGTTGGACATTTGTAACCAGCAGGACACTATGTGCAAGCAATTGATTTAGATAAGGAGTAGTAGCCTGAATCGCATTCAATGGGAGAGATAGTTTTAGTAGGACATTTCGATCCTGCTGGACAAGTTTTGCAAACTCCATCTCCAGCTAGTGAGTATTCACCACTGTCACAGTCAATAGGTGATGAGTGAGCAGTGCATTTAGAGCCTGTGGGACATTGTGTACAGCTAGTTGAACCAGCAAGAGCGTAATCAGTTCCAGTGCATTGAATAGGGCTTGCATCTTTTGTTGGACATTTGTAACCAGCTGGACACTATGTGCATGCAATTGATGTAGATAAAGAGTAGAAGCCTGAATCGCATTCAATGGGTGAGATAGTTTTAGTTGGACATTTTGAACCTGCTGGGCAATTTTTACAAATTCCATCTCCATCCAAGGAGTATTCACCAACATCGCATTCAACAGGTGAAGAGTCAGTGGTACATTTAGAACCTGCAGGACACTATGTACAGCTAATTTAACCAGCAAGAGCGTAATCAGTACCTGTACATTAGATTGGACTAACGTCTTTAGTGGGACATTTGAAACCTGCTGGGCAATTTTTACATATTCCATCTCCATCTAAGGAGTATTAACCAGCATCACATTCAACAGGTGAAGAGTCAGTGGTACATTTAGAACCTGCAGGGCATTATGTACAGCTTGTTGAACCAGCAAGTGCGTAATTGGTGCCTGTGCATTGAATTGGACTTTCATCCTTAGTTGGGCATTTGAAGCCAGCTGGACATTGAGTACATGTTGTTGATTTAGATAAAGCATAATAGCCACTATCACATTGAACAGGTTATGATGTTTTGGTGGGGCATTTGGAGCCAGCTGGACAAGTTGTGCATGAGCCATCTCCAGCAAGAGAATATTCTCCACTATCACAGTCTACAGGTGAAGAATCTCGTGTGCATTTAGAGCCTGCTGGACATTATGTGCAACTAGTGGCACCAGAGAGTGCATAAGTGGTACCAGTACATTAAATAGGACTGTCAGTTTTGGTTGGGCATTCATAACCAGCAGGGCACTGTGTACATGTTGTCGATTTTGCAAGGGAATAATATCCTTCGTCACACGCTGTTGGTGATTGAGTTTTTAATAGACATTTCGATCCAGCTGGGCATGTTGTACAAACTTTATCTCCCGCAAGAGAGTATTCACCGCTATCACATTCAACTGGAGCAGTATCTATTGAGAGACATTTGCTACCTGCTGGGCATTAAGAACAACTTGTAGATTTTGCTAATGAGTACTGTTCTGATGAACTTCCATCACAAGTTATGGGACTATCAGTCTTGGTTGGACATTTTGAACCTAGATTAATTTTAATTTTTGGAAGGTTTAAATAAAAATGCAGTGATAGTAACATATTTGCTGTACTTACCAGCAGGACAATCAACACATGTAAGCTGACCCAGTAATGAGTATTATCCAGAATCACAATCTGCTGGGGATTCATTTACTGCTGGGCACTTTTAGCCAGCAGGGCATTAAGAGCATTCAGTTTACCCTGCTAAGGAGTATTGCTCAGTGTCTGTGCCTGAACAAGCTACTGGACTCTCGTCTTTATTTGGACACTTTGAACCTAAATTGAAATATCAATAGATAAGAATCGATACCTGCTGGGCATTATGTGCAAGTGCCATCTCCTAATAAACTGTAATAACCTGTCAAACACTCTGATTATTCTTCACCGCTACAAGAATAGCCAGCAGGGCAATCATCAGCAGTGACATATCAAGAGGTAAAAAGCACGATGTAAAAGAGCGTCACTATTCTCTTTTAGTTTATGAAAATAGATTTGGATTCGTGATAAGAATACATTTTCCAAAATTAGTTATATAATTATAATTATTAGGTGAGTGACTGATTTATGTTAAAAATAAGTCATGATGTTTATTTTATTATCCAATACTTTTAAATACATAATTTCTATTAATAAATGCTTTTCATAATCTTCTCTAATAAAATTCTTATGGGGTTTTGGGGTTTTGGGGTTTTGGGG